CTGTGCATTTGAAACAGCATGGTGTAACGGCCACATAGCAGGTTACCCCGTATGGAATAGCTCCCATGAAAAAGCGCAGCTCTCCGTATTTGACACCGAGGCTTCCCTAAACAGAGGTTTTTCTACCGGCTGTCGTCCCCTGAGCAAAAAAGAGCCATTCATCTGATACTCAGGCTGGCAACGACAAGAGATGAATTGCAATGCGGGTCTCGCTTACGGCTTCAATCGGTTTGTGGCTCAGTAGAGCTGCTCGAGTCGCGAAGAAAAATGGCTGTTTTTCTTTTCTCACTATCGAACTTGATGAAAGCGACTAGGATGTGCATGATTCGGTCAGAGGTTGCTACAAGTTGTGCCCTCTCTGAAACCTACGTGGACATATACTTGCTGAGGAGCTTGTGGCATGAAATCCAAAAAATACACCTGAACTGTTGGGACCAACTAGTTGTTTGCGATTGGTTGATGGATTGGTAGTAGTCACTGTTTGAAATCGTTCATTGTTTCGTTGGAGATTAGCTACCTTGCTATGAACTGGTGGATCCTATTTTAGCTTACAAGAAGATTATCACGTACTACGTTTGAATGGGTTCGCTCACGAGATTAACGCTAATGGGACGGTTTGTAAATGAGATTTGCTATTCGTGGATTTTTTATGGCCTCTGTCAATTTTTATATTTCTAGATTTACTGGGCTCGTGCGATTGTTTTTCATGGATTTAGTTTCATGTCGAAATGTGTTTTCAAAGCTGCAGTGGAGACAAGAATTGTGGCACATGACCCAAGGAAGTGCGACAGCAGCATTGTTTGGTAACTTACTGCTCAAAACTTTTCACTTGAGGGTCATATTTTTTATGACATATTTCAGTTGTACTGAAACTGTAAAAGAGTGGTTGAAGAATATGGGTTACAGCCGGAGAGGTTTTCTGTTTTTGCTTGATAATCACTCTATAGGAACTTATTGAGGCAGTTTTCACACCTTTTCTTCGTAGCCTTTGTACAGTCGCTGGCTTTTGTATGTTCGTTTAGTTTTTTTTTTATTTACGAGTTTTGCAACTCTTGCCTATGCGGGCCTTATTTTTATTGTTTTGTTTTTGTTATTGTATATTCTGCAGTCAAACTCTAAGTTGTTTTTAGAAGAGCTGTAAGTTGTCTTGTTGAATATTCTTGTTGTTGCTGTTCAGATATTTTCGAGTGTATATGAAAGATTTCTTGTACTGTTCTCGTCTCTATGTGAAGCGTTTGATGCGCTAAAATACTTTCTTTCAAATCTAGTTCTTCAAATGGGCAAGGTGCTGGGTTTCCACCCAGTTTCATGATTCTATATTTTCTTTATTTGTAGATCTCTGCTGTAACAGTTCTGGAAAAGGGGAAAGCATTTTCATCTGCACATCTCTGAAATGGTAATAAATAGAAATTTGTTAGATCTCTGCTCATCTGTGTTTTTTAGCTGGTACTTTTGATCGGAGATCTGCACATCCCTCATCGAGAGTATAACCTCTCGGCGAAGTTCCGGAAGCTACTAGTGCCAAATAAAATGCAGCATGTGCTTTGCACTGGGAACTTGTGTAATCGTGAAAGTGTCGATTACTTGAGGTGAGAATTTGATGATTCTCCATCAAGGATTTGTGTAACATGGGATGAAATGACAGCCAACGTGAGTAGCCACTGTGAGAAGGTACAGTGGGGAAGGTTCATTGTGTGAAGGAAAAGCTGACGCAGTAAGGGTGTCGCTTCTTTGAGATACTGCTTTTAACTCCGGCGTTTAGAAATGAAAAATGTGAGCAGATACTCCATTCAGTGTACGTTTCAAAGCAACAGTCCCAGCAGGGTGGGCGTGGTCGGAAACGGCTGCAATCCCCTCGGCCGATTCCCACTTCGGAGCTGTTCAGCCCCTAGTCAAGAACGTAAGAAGTGTGACTGAACAAAAACTCACCTTGGAAAGCCGCTAGGGAGGGAGCTGAAGTGGGCGTGGTCGGAATCGGCCGAGGGGATTGCAGTCGTTTCCGACCACGCCCACCCTGCTGGGACTGTTGCTTTAAGCACGATAGCAAAGTACTAGTGGTCCATAAACCGTGGTTCGAACTGAAGATGATGAATGAGGAAGTTTTTTTTGCATCGTAACAATGGAAGATTTATCCCGGTCAGGAATTCGTCAATGGCAAAGAGTCAACAATCCACAAAAGGCACTAGAGGAAGTCAATTCTAGTTTCAAACTTAGCAGAGAACACGGTCAACGTCCTTTGATAGTTCACAAGTGAGGAGGAGGAGGGGAGGGGAGGGCGAGTCGCCTTCATGTTTTATGTATTCGTGGTTGTGGTAAAGGGCAGTGTCGAATCGGAATCTTCACACAGCGACGTTATCTTATGTTGAGGGTTCGCGTCGTGGCGGAGGGAGAAGGGAGTTCGTTGTTCAACTTTTTTGACAATTATGGAGAAGTATTCAATAAACATGCGTGTTGTAGACGAAATTGATAGGAGGGGGGGGTCAGCGACTATTTGAACTTTCCTGTGGTTGTGTCGCGAATATCTAGAGCACAGGCGGCTAGTGTACGGCGCCTGATTTGGATACAAATTTCAGAGAGGAAATTGCAGGCTCTGAGGCTGAGTCCTAGAGGGAAGGGGGGAAGGTGAGACTCCGAGGTGGTTTAGCCAATTACAGCCTGTCAAAAAATTGAGTGTGAGGGGTCACACTAGTCATGTGCCGCTCCTCATTGTCAGGTGAGAGAGCGCCGACGAGAGCATCAAATTTGGGCGGTACCATGGTCCAAATCCAAGTAGCCCGTAGACCGGTGAAGAAGGGGGGTGTACGTGGGTGTTTCCCCTCTTGGTCACATCGTCGAGAAGGCATTGCCATGCTTGGAAAATCACTCTATGAATACAGTTTATTACTGTGGAGAAGAACAAAAGAAAAAAGGTTCGGTACTGGTGTTGCTTCCACTCCTCGAATCTTCCAGGTTATCACTGCAAGGCAGCTTGCCTGACATCAGTCCAGTAAAGCCCTATTTTAAAGGCAGAATTTACGATGAAAAGTTAGCTCATTGGAAATAAGGGTAGAGGTGGTCAGTGGAGCAGGGATGAAGAAGAAACCATTTGAAACGGCCCGAAACCCGAGAAATGGGACCCTTCCTTGCCCGTTGATTTGCGCATTGATGCGACTCTCATCGCTGTGCCCTCTTCAACACTACGCTCTCTCTGCTATCTAATCACTCGCCACGTATAGACCTGCGGCGAGTGATTAGATAGTCGGTGGGCGTACCCCGCCAACCGCGCCAAGAGTGAGCCATGCTAGATCGCCGAGGTCAAATCTTTCGCTGCCAATTGCGCGTCGGTCAGCACCCTCAGGAGGTCCGCCTGTCTCCCAACTATGCAATTTTCCCCTTTTCGACCTTCGTTCTTATCGTGATTTCCTCCTTCTAAGGAGGATTCCTCGATAATAGCGAAGGTCGAACAAGAGGAAATTCACCGAGTAGAGAGACTGGGGACTTCCTAAGGGGACGGACACGCATTTTGCATATAAAGGATATGCCCCCAACGATCCACGATAGCCCTCGCGCTCCGATGTCGGTACTGTTGAAGAGGGCAGCATCGTTGAGATTCGCAACAATGCCGAAATAAACGACAGGGGAGCGGTCCGATTTTCAAGGTCCTAGGTTGTTTTTCTCAGTTTACTTCTTCATGCTTGCATCACTAACCACCTCTACTTTGATTTTTAATTGGCTGTCTTTTCATCATGAACTCCGTCTTCAAAAAAAGGAAGCCTGAGCCTTAAGTGCGCTGCAAGTAGATCTTCGAACAAATCACTGGATGAAGCATCTCTTAGGAAACTGCGTGCCGCCGTCAAAGCCTTCTTCAAACGGTTGATTGAATAGCTGCCCTCGCCAGGCTGTAATTGCCTAGGGCAGCCATTTGATGTCATATATAACAATTTTGCAGCTATTTTTATGTTATTTTACGGCGTAAATACTTTAGGAGTTCCATCGTGTCATTTCGAATTGGGCTCTCCGGGTTTTAAATGGTTTGCGATCGAAGAGCAGCTCATTAAAGTTAAAATAGAGGTGTTCAGTGGTGCTAGCTTATAGAAAAAAAACATGAGAAACGGCCCAGAACCCGAGAAATGGGACCCCTTCCTTGCTTGTTGATCTTTGCTTTGATGCAGCTCTCATCGATGCAGCTCTCCTCAACGCTAGAGCCCTCTACTACACTGCTAGAGAGTGATTAGCCAATCGATGGGCGTGCAGCGTAGATAGCGGCGCGGGGATGGTCATGGTAGATTGCCCTGGACATATCCTTCGCTGCAAATAGCGTGTCGCTCCACAACCTATTTTCCTTTCCACTAGGTCAGCTTCCATTCACCGACCTTCGACCTTTGGATTCCTCCTTTGATTCATTAACAGTTACTCTTCTAGCAGCTAAGGACATTACACTCAATTAGTGGTTTTCCATCAGTTTCCCAAATTTGTGCTCACTTCGTCGTGGGATAAGGAGCAATATGCGCATAAGATGCAGCTCGACCTCATGCAAAACTCGACTGTACTGCTTTCTCGCTTCTCTTCTGAAGAGTGCATTCTATAGATGGTCACCGCCTTTTACCAAAGTATGATGCAACTAGAATTAATTTCATTCTCCTAGAACGCTGTCCCCGGATGTCCATGTAGTGCGTGGAGAGTTTGATGATGAATCGTTGAAGTATCCGGATACAAAAGTGGTTACTGTAGGACAATTTCGCATAGGTCTCATTCACGGTCATCAGATCATACCATGGGGAGATGAGGCGGTACGTTTGAATTATATATGTATATTTTTTTTCTTCGTTTCTCTCCAAAAAGTTCCTTTGGGACATATAGAAGCAACTTTTACTGATATCATCCTTTCATTCTCCACCAAGCGAAAGAGTAACGGAGGAGCTAACGCGTTGCGGCTAAACCTGTGACTGTCTGTTGGTTAGCAAGGGGCGGGGTGCGTGCAGAACCTAAGAGGTTTCCTCCGTTGTAGCTTTGTATCATCCTTCTATTTTATAAAGCGCTAACTTTGTGTGTCGGTTTGTGTATCTGTATGTGTGTATGTATGTGTGTCCGTCCGCAAAATGAAGTGAGTGAGAAGGAAGCTCATGGGATAAACAAACCGCTAACAAATCGGGTAGCTTACAGGATTTGAGATATCAATGTTTTGTAGCAGGATAGTTGTGATAACACTCTTAGGGCTATATAAACACCTGCTTAGCACACTTCCGTTCATTCCACATGGTGCTGCAGTGGCAGCTGGAGGGCAGTGGAGAGAGGAAGGGAGGATGAGGAAGGGAAGCGAAAAATCTACCGTCATATCATGATTGTGTCCCTTCTACTGTATGAAACACCATTGTGTTGCATACGCGTCACTTCCAGGAGGTGTTGGTGTCACAGGAGGAAGGGACCATAGCGGAGGATAGAAAGCTTGCGCAGGAAAGGAAGGTCCCGGCGGTTGACGGGGGACTAATCTGGTTAATGTAAAATGTGAAACTGATTGCTGTTCAAATTGGAGGCATGGGCTCATCTCCTATAGTGTTGTCTGTCGTGCAAGTGTTTCATTTCAGATGTTGGAGCAACTGGCCCGACAGCTTGATGTAGATGTATTGGTGACTGGGCATTCTCATGAGTGCAGTGTGAAAGAGAAAGGCGGACGTTTCTACGTGAATCCAGGCAGCGCCACTGGCGCATTTTCAGTTACTCATGATGGGTGGGTCCTTTCACTATAGCTGACTTCTGTCAATCCTTATGGGCGGGTAGCCTTCATTTCCCCAAGGAATTGTCGCACACGCTTTCTGTGGACGCTTAATATTTGTGATCTTATCGCGGCAGCTCATGTTTGAAGTGTAGCAGCAGTGTGATGTATTGCCAGCCCATATGTTTCTTTTTCCTGTTTCCACAACTGTGAGAATTCCCTCGTTTAAAGAGACGCAAGGTACTATTATACTCCGTTCTTTCATTTCTAATGCCGTTCCTGCTGCTCATGTGGGTATGGGGAGGCACTTTAGGGCAGAGAGTCCAACAAATAAAAACATGAAAAAAATTTTCTTTTGGGTCTCATCCATATGGTGCGGCAGTTCATATTGTATTGGAATGATGCATAATTATTGCGATTTTTTTCGCGCATTCTTTTTTCGAAAAGACTGACGTTTTGTTTATTATTTTTCACGAAAATATTCTTCTTTCTTTCATTAACAGAAATGCTTATCGAAAATCATCTTCATGTTCGCCACATATGCTCTACCACCTCGAGAAAGTTGGAAAAGCGGCTCATTTCGCGATCTCAGCGAAGTTTTCCGCGAGGGACAACCAGTAGAAGCCAATGAGGATGGCTCAAGGTGTTCAAAACAACCGACCAAAGTAAAAACTGGGAAACGAACAAAACTTATGACTTGGTGGCCGATATTAGAGCGTGGATCGTCTCCAAAAGTCGTGATTTTTTTCACCGTGGAATCGGCCGACTGCCAAGCAAACGGGAAGCATTCTTGAAGATGGTGACTACGCTCCGGAATAATCTTTTGGCATGTTTTGTTAAATATTTTTATCGTTTTCGCTGAATAAAATTTGTTGAAAAATCCGCAATGATTATGCATCAACCCAATCTTAAGCGTTCCAGTTTGCGCAAGAGGAGAGAGCACCGAACGTTTTTTTTTGGAGCGGAATAGATCATGCGCCTCGGAGACTTCCTCCCCTGCAAAAATTGAAATTTTGTAGGCAGCAACTGTCGCATCACATGGCCCCCTTACTTCATCTAGGTTCTTCCCTTACCAAATTGGGATTACTGTACTCGCAGGGATCTGCAACAAGATATTTCCTCGAACTAGTAGAGCATGGGTTCTTTTAATCGAAGATGCCCGATGCTGTCAGACTGTCATCCAAGGCCGAATCGAGAATTGTATTTTGACAATCTTGATCTGTAACGGTAAACCTGAGATTTGTGTGATTGCGGAGTAGCGCCTTTTCGCACTTCTTTTGTCTATCCTCAAGCGTGGTGAAATGAACGCCCACATTTTAGCATTCTCCGAAGTTCATTTCTAGTTTAACCTACCTTATATTACATGTCCCGCTTTTCTTGTGCTGTACAATGGCCAGCCAAAACCAGTTTGGTTTTTCACTTATGTGTCAGCAGAGTTCACATTTCTCTCTATATTGTCGCTCTTCCTTGTCAAGTCCATTATCACAAGATGTTAATCACTTTTTTCGACGAACCATCGCCAAACAGCAAAAAGTCATCCCTATAGAGTGCTCGTTGTAGTCACTTGACCTGCTGCGATTATGGCATTGTGTTATGTGTTTCTTTCTAGTTTTGGTTGGCTTCTTTGGGTTTTCACCAAGTTTACTCTCAGTTCTCTTGAAGGTGGCATTTTCCAGTCCGGTTATCGCGTCATTTGCATTACTGGACGTGCAAGCTGACTGTGTAGTGACGTATATGTATCGACTAATTGATGATCAAGTGAAAGTCGATCGGACTATTTTCAAGAAACCACATGATTAATTTGTTTATTCCTCGTATTCATCCGTTTGGCATGTTGTGATATTTATATTCATTGACTTTCTCCTCTGCGTAATAAATCTCTCGATAGGGAGATTCGAAAAATCTGAAAGGTTATAAAATCCTCTATGGCTTTCTCGTAGCGATCCCAAGAAATTTCCACGTTTTACGATTCTCTCTAGCGTGTTACCATGAGAAAACTGTATGCTTGTTCTGCATGTTTCATAGTCACATTCCACAGGACCTTATGTTTTTCTGGTGTAATTATTTAACGATGCAACCGGTTTAATTAAATGTGACTGATAGACGTTGTTCGACGTGATTAATGTGATTTTCGTAATGTCGAAACCACACGGTATATTCTCATTTTCAATCCTGTACTCGCAGTGATATCGTAGTTGTTATTGTGTACGGTGGAACTATTATTTTCAGGCGTTTGCTTTCCATTTTCATAAGTAACATTAGATTTGTTTTCTGTAACAACGAGCAGCTGGCTATCCGATGACGGGAGCATTAATTTATTTGCTCTTACTACTTATCCCTTCCACGAGTATACTATCTTCAGCTGGTGAGCACTTTTCAAGTCTAAGTTAGTACACTATTTATACGATTTTACGTTTTGCTCTGAGTTTTGTTGTAGTTCCAAGCACAGCCTCTAACTAAACTTGCGCTGGAAAGGCGTTATTTCTGAAGTTGGGTCAAGGAAAAGTACCACAGTATATAGGCTTGAAGCAATTTCGATTTTTGTTCGCCTTACTCCATATTTACTTGGAAAACATTCTGCAAATGTGCAACACCCTTCTCAGAGAGTTTTCTCCGAAATCATTCGAAAACGAGTGAAAGCTGAAGAAAAAAGCAAGAGGCGCGTTGTAAATCTCATTTTCATTGGTTTTCTCCCCATTTCACGCTGTAACGGCTGCTCATGTTTTTATGTGATGACATAATTGCAGCCAGTTAAATTCAGATAATTACGAGTTACCGTTGATACTTCGATATGAGGACTCTTCATCAATGTTCCACTTATTGCCAAAGAGTCGATTTCGTCGGGCCACATACAACTTTCCGAAACAGGCAGTACCTGCTGTGGAACAGGAAGGACCAGAAATGTGGAATACACACATACCTGAAGATGTTGAAGTAGAAAAAGAGAACAACACGGTGAGTGGTTTTCTTTAAATCAGTTTCTCATATGGCTTACATAGTCGCTATTCTGGAGAGATTTTTTTTTCGCTTTTCACCTACTTATAAGGTCATGTTGTTTAAACAAAATGTTTCGTTTAATTCCAGTTTGAGTAGCTGTGCAATTTTAGGTTGATCATAAGTACTATATAACAACTATTTATTTGAATCGCCACCAACAAATGGATAATTATTGGGTTGACATCGACGCGATGTTGAAGAAGCCCGGAGTTGTGGGAAATGCCAGTCATCCGCTTTTGTCTGGAACGTATCGAAGGGCTGTGGTAAGACTCTAAATTTCTACATAAGCACAAATGTTTTGCGGCACTTTACGGCGCGTTTGCTTGACATATCCGTTTCCTTGTTTTATCTGAGCTCAAGCGTTCCTTGGGGATATACAATTTTTTTATCGTTTCCACTTATTCATTCAGGGTGCGAAGCTAAGCTTCAAGTTCCCGTTCTACGGTCATATGATGACAAATCTTACAATAGCTACTGGAGGTATGTCTATACTCGAGTTACCCGCCTAAGTGTGTTTAGTTTGCCAACAGCATTCATATTGAAGGCTTCCTCTATATTGGGGACCAGACACACAATTGGTTGGCGGCCACACAATACATAGCCCCTCTCATGGCGAATTTCGATACGATGCTTGACGTGAGCCTATTGATAGTAGTCTTTCATCATCAGTTTGAGAAAGCGCTATATTAGAATTTTAGGGATCGAGTATCCTTTATGCTGATGATGGTGAAAAGTTTGTGGTGGAATGGAGGAAAGTTCAATTAAGAGAGCAACACCAAGGTATGGTTTCGGATTAGTTTTCGCTGAAGGTGATCAGTGACAGCCCAGTGTTTTGGACCTGATTTTGAACCTTAATTGATGGGTTTTTCCCGTTCGCAGAAATTCAAGGAACTGACATTTATTTTTAGCTGGGCCGTTTACTTTCCAAACTACACTTTTCAAAAATGGATCTATAGCATTCGTCTATAAAAATGTAAGTACTTTCGACTTTCCTGTTCTTGTAATATTTTCCATAATATTGTTGTGGTATAATCCGCTCTGATTCATTTGAGTACTGATTTTTGTTGTTGTTGACTCACAACGACTTTTTTCCTTTTGGCAAAGTCAACCGTTTCGAATGGTGTTTCAATAGCTTGAAAAGTGCAGCTTTAGGCGCAAAGGAAAACATGCAGCACGCGTAGATGTCTTTTTGTAGGCTGGTGCGGATGATTGCTCGTTATTTCATAGATTGACATGCAGAGAGAAAAACTCACTGGAATCGCTAGCCGCGGAATTGTTTTTTTTTCTAATCTCTACGGGATGTAGTAGAACCCTTGGAACCGGTAATAATGCTGTGACGGATCCCTTGATCACACATGCATGTTTTGAGCTTTAAGCTTCTTCCAAGTTCGCAGGAAATCGGTTTTGCATAGATTCAGCGCAAATGATGGATGGAAAATTGAATTCAACGGGGAACTCTTCTTCATTGATGTTCACATAGTGTATAGAACAGAGTGAAAGACAAAGTACTCGGCGCGGATCTTCTCTTTCGCGGGACGCCCTTAGAATTTCATTCAAAACATAGCGGCATTTGAATGTAATTTCGCTTTCACAAGAAGGAATGGCTCTAAAGGAAGGGAAGGAGATAAAGGGGATGTACCATACACTATTTTTATCCCCCGGATAACTTTGTGCCACATTGCTGGCCCCATAGGACCGGAAGATTTTTTTGAATAAGATTGATTGGAATTTGATCCAGAAAAAGTAATTGGTAAGCGAATTCAGGGCAGTGGCGCTACTTGCCGCTGTCCTATCTCTGCTAATCCCAGTGCAGTCTTTTTCTTATTTTTTCGTTTGGTCTATTTGATTCTCGATATTTCATCACTTTGTCCAGCTGCAAGCATTCATGCCGCAGCTGTTACTTTTTAAACCTGATTTCATACACTAGCTATCATGAAAACAGTGAACGCAACGGTTGTTGTAAATTGCAGACGCAGATTGCATTTGATTGGATGTACACAATGATGTGACCAGGGGCGTTTATTGGAAACGAAGTAAAGGACAATTCTGAAAAGAATTATAAACGTAAATTTTCAGCTTTATAAGGAATAAACGAAGATCTTCAGCTTTCTTATAATACACTGTGCAGGATAAGTGAGATGTTGTCTCATTGAACAAGATTTGATTCTATGTGATATGTGATGTGAGCATTTTTGATGCCCACACCAGACTGGATGTGTTATCCTTTTCATTTTGACATACTACGTCCTCCAGTCCGTCCATGATTTAAACTTTCAAAACTGCACAAATCCGCAACTTGCTGTAATAAAGTGGATGAGAGACATGTAATTAGAAAATGTTCTTGATGTGATGATAAATACTTTGTAGGTACCCATGAATGTTTCAAATATAAGCGATGAGCAGCATCCGGTCAAATGCGGTATTAGCGATGCCTATCTGTATCATCATATGTTTATGGCACATGGGACGAGTAAGTGTTACAAGTTCTGACTTTTTACTGTTAAATGAGTTCCCTGACGGTGTCCTGTTCCCGATTTCACTATTATACTAGTTTCTGAGAAACGCTCAAACTAATGGAGAACGGTAAGTGGGATTACCAATTTTTCCTCCGCCCTCCGGTGCTTGCCCCGTCCACCATTGTGAGACTACTATCACATTGGCCTCTCCTTCTTTGGTTTCTTGAAGGCCTGCAAAAGGGTGGATGGAAAATGTATAGAATGGAGATAAAATGATGGTGGCTAAAGCTTTTTCAACAGCTGACCCAAATTCGATGCGCACATCTCCCGCCGTGAGCATTCGATCTCACCTCCTCCAGCAGCTCTTTGTTTTTGTTATCGAAAAGTCAATTTCATGAGACATGCAGAGAAAGTAAGTAATGGATGAGGGTAGCGAAACCTTCACTATCTGCACTGATTGCATATGATACTTCTTCCATTCTTCTTTTGTTTATGCTATATTAATTTCAGTGAGTCCAAAGCGTGTCATATATGAGTACCACCGAATTGAGATCCCCCTAGAAAAAGTGGTCCCTGATACGGTCGTTTACCTTGAAGCGCAACCAGGTTAGCTTTCATTTTTCTGACTATTTTTCGTTATTGAATCTGTTGTAGCTTAGTCCTCCATAGAGCATAAACTTATCTCCAAAGTTTTATTTTAGTGTGCATTCAGTATCAATCTTGTGAAGAGTGCTCTAATGCATCGCTGAAGCACTTCACTTGCACATGGTGTCACGCTAAGAAAGCCCACGGAGGGCCTTTTTGCACAGACCAAGGAGGGTGAGTCGGAACGTTCCTCTGAATATTTTATTTTCATGTTCTTATCACTTTTGCTTTGTAGTATTCATCGTCGTCGTCAACAGTGGGCAGAGAATAATTGCAAAAATCAAGGGAAGAATATGTATTGTAATGCTGCTACTGATGAAGAGGAGGTGGAAGATAGCAGGTAGGTTGTCAAGTAGTTTTTGTGTCACAGGAATTCCCATTTTCTTCATGTGGGAGACAGTCGTTAGTTACCGTTAGTTGCGCTTGCGATCGATGACAAACTTGGAACAGTGGTCCAACTTTGTTGCTTTTGATAAATGTCGGTATGAGATAGCAAAGCAGTGCAACTGGCTAGAGGAAAATTTGAAAGTAAGTGGTTTTCTTTTTATGGGAGCAGGATTCCATGCGGCTGTTTGAAGAAGATAGTCCTGAAAGTCATTCAACCTTATGCGCACAAAACGTAACTTTTTTGTTGTACTAAGATTAATCACCGCCTTAATGTACCGCCTTTCAACACTTCGCCGAAAGCACCTAGGCAATGGGTATCTAGCATAGACTTTTTGCTGGGCGTAGCAAAAGTCAAATTTCCGCGGGCTCAGCGCCACACACCCTTGTCTGTTTTTGTTTTAATGGTTGATGCTATTGGTTTGAGGCGCTGCGAACAGTGCAATTCAGTTTGTAAAGTTGGCGAAAACCAAAACTTGTCCCAGATGTGTTTGACTTTTGCGGCGAAGTAAGAAGTAGTGAAACGGCTCGCGGGGCGCAGTTTGCCAATATGGCATGCTCTAGAGTGATGTAAAGTGTGGCTGATTCCAGCATAAGAAGAGGCCTATTGTTGTGTTGGAAACTTTTTGTCGCATCAGTTTTAGTCACCTGCTAAACTCTAGGACATATAAAAGTTGCCTTCTGTGCACTTCTGGCCAATTTTTAAATCCCGCTATCCTACGTCTTAATCATCTTGTTAGCAATGCCATCTATCCTGATATTTTCAAGAAAGTTACACTTTTATGTTTTCAGCTCGACTCCTTCGTCTGAGCAACCGTCATCACCGGATGATGTAATACCTCTGGACAAGCCGCGAGTGGATAAACTCAGAGGTTGGTTATATGAAGATCGCTTTTTGCCGACGAGCTCTAGTTTTTGTTGTGATATCACCAAAGTGTATGTATGTAGGTAACGAAAGATAGTTTTTATTGTACGAAAGGGTTGCCGTCGTACAAGAACCAAGGACACATGGTTGTGTGGGTGTAAACACTGCGTGATACAGTGTACAAGTTACTCACTGTATATATTAAAAACTATTGAAGCTCTAAAAAAACTCAACTTTGGTCCTTGCGTAGCACCTATTACACCCTGATTTTTAATGCGCAGTTTTTTTTGTTTATTTTCTGACTCGACATGCTGGAAAACGGCTCATAAAAGTGCAGTCATAGCAAACGACCGTCGCGGCAGTGGCGATCCAGGCGGAGCGAGCCACTGACTTGTACATCAGTTGGACTCGTAAGCAGGGTCAACCCTACGTTGCTACAAGTAGCAACGGGGGGGGGTCGTATTTTGTTGAGTTTGTGGTGGGGGGTCGTACTTGCTTCGGTTGTAAGAAGTTGCATGTGATGAGTGGGGAGCGCGCGGGAGAAAATTTGCCGTTTCAGCGCGCGTATATACCCCCCTAGAAAATGGAGCAGTGGAAATATAGGTGAAAAAGAGGGAAAATGGGGGAAAATGAAGGGAAATATAGGGAAATTTTGCGGTTTCATGGTAGTTATATACCCCCCTCCCCCGCTCGACGGTGTTTTTTGAGGGAAAAAGTGGCTGTGAAGAGGGGGTCGTATGAAACTTCTCGTGAAGGAGGGGGGTCGTAAAAATTTTGCAAAAAGTATCAACGATAGGACCGACCCTACTCTCAAGTCATTGTCTAGGCCAATTCTTGCGGAATGCCGCTGCATTGTGAGTGTAAGTAAAATGCGTGGCACATTCGCAATATGGATTGACCAACGCCGAGTGCTTTGTTTTTTCGCCCATTACACTCATTGTCGTTCGCGAATTCTGAACCAAAACAAAGACAAGGATTTCCAATTGACAAGCAATGTGTGTGTCTGCATGGCGGAAGCATGAAAATCGCTTGTTGGGGCGCAGCGATTTTTTATAGCCTTCAGTTATTAGCCGTGACCATCGGTTTGGGTTGCGGATCATGACCTAATTTGTTTTCGGCAAGCCCAAGCGTGAGCCAAAACCTAGGCTTCGATCACTCGCAGCAGTGGTGGCCCGAGCTGATCTAAAGGTTCGAACGCCTCTAATAGGTTCGTAAGAAAACATCGTGAAATTTCACATCTCTGAATAGCTATACTTGCTGTTCAAACTACTAGTAATAATTAATTACCAGAAAATCACTCTCATAGGATCAAATCGCATTTGCAATTAACGTTCTGTTCTTGAGCTCTCAATTGCTGCACATGGCGCAACTTTTGGATTTAAGCTTCAAAACGATACACAGCTCGAAGTGGGAAAGTACACCTCAGTGTTTGTGACGAATTAAGATGTAACATGGTAATGAATGTGCTTCGTCGAAATCAGCGACTTTCTCAGGATTTTTTTCCTGCTCAATTCGCACTGAACACGAGTGTGAATTGTGTCTCAAAAACCTCAAATTATTTTCCAGGTTTCATCATTATTTGTCACCGTTTTTATCAAATTTAGTATTAGAGTCAAAGTGACGTGTAGGTGTAATTCGATGTATTTATTCTGCGTCAAAATCTCGGTCGGGGTTGCCAACTCGTTTTCGGGAGCTCCCATGGGATCACATCGACGATTTTGCAGCAAATGTGACAGCTTGTCTGAATTGTGGGCACTATCAATTCTGTCCCGCTGGGAACTAAATAAGATTACTGCTCTGCACTCACCAATATCCCCAACATTTTTGCATGTGGGAGCGTCTCAACTTCACTCAGGGAAAGAAACATTTCATTTTGGATGATCTCAACTATTGCTGCTGATTGTAAGACTTGATGCAAGCTTTACCTCTATTTTTTCAGGCCGTACTAATGGAGGTGGTTATGCTGCGCTCGTTTTTACACTCGGATGTTCTCTTTGCCTCATTGCTTGGTTAGCATATGCGTACTACAATCCCCATACTACTAGTGGCCAACTCCTTATTCTCTTCAACGATGAAGTTTCCGTATACGGTTTATTTCCTGTATGGACCACTCGCAGGCCATGAGTCTCGAATATATCTTGCATATGCGATCGGAAATGCAAATCAATTTCATTTTTAAATCCTCGTCCTACGCTGGCTTCTGCCTACTTTGCTCCAGCCTCCATGCTGCCTCATTATGAGTCTCTGGTCTTAGCTCGCCCACCATGGTGCACGTCAGGTCCAACATAATTATTTGACCTCTTCTCCATCACTGGTCTTTGCTTCCGGCTTCTGAGCACTCTGAAACATAATTATGAATTTTTGCAGAAAGTCCACTTAAGAGCACACTTCGACTATCGTGCGCGGGGCTTCACCCATTCTAGGCATGCTTAGCTCAATCAGATATTCCTTATCCCTACTAACGTTTTCTCCTGCTCTTTCGGATTTCTGAGAAACGAATTGTGGTTTTCAATGTCAGGCGCTGCCCATTTAGAGAATGCCCTTCCCATCGTTTATGAGCTCTCTTCATGCACAAATCTGTCGTTCACTTTTACGCATTTTCCCGGTCTCTAGGCTATTTCTGGAACTGAATTTGAACTTTTTGCCCTCGGCATCGCTCGTTTTAGTGCTTTCCAACGAGGGCTCCGCTCCGCTTTGATCATTTGTGCTCGGTACACCATGGCCCATACCCCTCCACTCCATATTTCTTGGCGCTATTTCTGACCCGGCTTCTCCAGGTGATTGTTTGGGTACCGAATTTTATGACAGCGTGCGAGTAAACAGATCTGATGTTTCATATATAGTAAGGCTCTAACATTTCAATTCACCGCAGTTTTAATCGGCACTTAGTAGTGAAGTCCTTCAGGTGCCACTTTTTTTTGACGCCAAGTGTCCCACGCAGGGTCAACCGTAAAGTGCATCACAGAAATGAAAATGAAGTGAGTTATGGTCGCTGAAAGCCCAAAAACTCGCTTTTGCACGAAAAATGTTCGAACGGGACAATTTTTTGAAAAAGGGGACAATCACTAAACTTTTTATACTATTTTGTTAGAGAAATATTTGAAGTTTCTGAAACTTTTTACAGATTTCCAAAATGTCGCATACGAAAGATTTTATGGGCCTTCAAAGTTGAAGGTGCGCCTTCTTAGAATTTTGGGGTTTTCCACTTCTAACAGAAGTACTTTCCGGAGAGTTAGGCAATCCTTGTAGTTTTCTGAAAGCGCACCTCAGGCACAATCAAAATCTACCTCAACAAGTCAAAAAAATACGTCCCAAGAAAGTTATTCCCCTCTAAAATTTTTTTCGCCGCGTCCCGTTCTTCCAGCGCCCGGGTGATACCTGCCGCGCTCCAAGGCCGACGCGACGACGCGGCAGGCGCCCCCGCCAACGATTTCAGTTAGCACTTATTCATCAAAAAACGAAGCGTGAACTTGCCCCCCACACTCGTAGATCTAGGAGTCGCAAAAATCCCCAATAATTTCCGAACGTGACGGATTGACACTCCTAGTCCCCACCTCGGCTGCAGCGCAGTCGGTTTAGATAAATGCATATGCCCCACAATGATGGCAAATCACTGTCTTACCAACACTCGAATAGACTCTCAACGCCATCGCCATCTCAAGAAGACTACCGCCTCTCCGCACGGTTTCTGTGAACGCTCAGATCTACAAATTACCATTCAAATTTGCTAAACGACCTTCTAAAGAAAGTTATGAAGCAAAACAACGCAACAGCAGTGGTCGGGATTTGCAGTCAAAACGTCGTAGGATCGGGCCGTAATCGTGTCTACTGTTTAGCGTTCTTCAAGAGTACAGCTAGAAAGCTTTAAATAGCTTATTTGGCCTAATTCCTGGAGAACGAAAAGGTTGAGATTAGCGTTCAAATCCGATTGCTGCTAGCGGTTTCGTTTCACATCACTTCTTGAATGGCCATTGGGCGACGTTGAGTACGCCTTCCTACTCCTTTCAACTGGAACAGTAGGCAAGCACAGGTGCGAAACCACCACTGTATGAAGACCTCTTCTGTACGGCCGAAAGAACAAACAGTAAGAAAAAAGTTCGCCAAGGATATCACTCAAGCATTGCTTCTCGTCTACTACCTTATTGCTTAAAGGCATTGGATAGATGCACAGGCAATGAGGGTCCTCGCGGTCTCTGAATGTACTCTTAACCGTCAATGAACAGAGGCATTTGAAGCGCGTTGTCAACACATCACACTGAAACCTCCTCCTATCTCGAAGAGATTTAGAATCTTCCACCAAGTGCCATCAAATGAACTTCATATTAAACTGCTCCGTACACCACACCATCGTTACCACTGGACTCTCACTTGCGTACCCATCAGAGAATCCTTCTAGGCATTTGGAAGCGGATTGCTCCCAGCACGTGTTGCAGTTTCCACAGGTCAGTGTCAATAAAATGAAGATACATCATTTGCTCGAAAGAAATACTATAGACATCATAGCCCCCCCCCTAACCATAGTCTTAAGCATAAGCCAGTGTGTAAGCATAAGCCTAAGCCTAAACCCAAGCTTGACCTTGGGTTTCGATGATCGCGTAGCTTTGGTGACTTGACCCCAGGAAGAGAACTGAACATCTTTCTCTAGCATTTGTTCGACTGAAAGCCTTTTTGCATCTGGTGCTATGCATTCTGACGAAAACCAACAACAGTTTACAGTCAGCTGCCATAGCGCGGAATCTGACCACACTGTTGGCAGTTATCCATGCGGCTTTTCAACATTGCATAGTGTGTAGTAACATAGTGTGTTTGCGGTCGTGATTCGCTCCATGGTTGCTGCTGTTGGGAGACCTGAATACTATCCTATGCTCTGTTTTTCGGTTTTTTCTGTAATAACTTGGTGTAGCATAACTAGCATAAATTTCTTCATCGCTTCTCTTTATCATTTTTCGTAGTTCTGTTTTGCGATCAATTATTTTTCCTGGATATTTGTTTAATTTTTTCCACTACTAAATTCTTTTCTTTCCAGTACCGCCCTTCTCGTTGGAGAACTCCTAGCAGTCACGTCCGTTATAGTGCCTCAGTGCATATGTAAATATCAGTCAATTACAGCACTGCTGTTTACGCAATGCCCGTCGGCATATCAGCGGTGGCAGCTTATTCGTTGTTCGGTGCTAGAACTCTTTTGTCGAAACCTTTCTCATACATAGACGTACATTTGCACCCGCGTAACTGTTGCGAACCTTGGAACGGTACAGAATATGCCACATATATTCCATGGTTAGTTTTACCGGCCATGGTTGATTTTACCAGTAGTCAGCAATCAAGTATCTCCATCGCACTTCCTATGCACCACCATTCCAAGGTTCCCAACGGCTGCGGGCTGAATACGCTCACACCAATGACAAGATGTTCATAATTTGCACGGCATAATCACTGTTACTTATTTCTGTACGTAACATTGGTAGTCTAATGATCTGTTAATCTCGGTTCTATCTTTGCGAAATTCGTATCCTTTAACGCTGTCGTGAATTTCTTTCATCTCCGTCTATCTCTCGATTCCTTCGTGACGGGAATGAGCTTCAAATATTTGTTTCAATTCGGTATCATGGCAGATTGCTCACATTACTAACACGTATCATCCATCTACTTATACATTCGTAGCTAAATCTAAACGAACACACAGTTTCAAGTTGCTAACTTTCTGTATTCTCGGCATGTACACGAGAAATGACGGCGATGTAAATGTTTACAGTAATTGAGCACGCTCGTAGATTGTTCCATGTTTGCACATGATTTGCCCTGATATGATATTCGTGCGGGCAAATATCCCATGCTATGTACGGTTCGCTGTGAGTTTTAATTTAAATGTTATGCGTGGTTCGAGTTTACTATAAAAGTGACAGTTTCCAGATGAAGGCGATTTGTGGAAAAATCTTGGTGATTCCAATCTACATTTTTAGAGGTACATCAAAAACTATTTTGGAGGCAAAGGGTTAAATGACTGATGGAGTATCATGTAGCAATGATGATGACTGAATTTGCCACTTGAGCTGTGCTGTCGGAGGCATCGGTCCTGATTCGATATGACCAGGGTTCCGTGTCAAATCACAATCACGTTTTTAGTTCCGCTGGCACTATTCAACTATTACAACCCCAAAATTTTAATTTTCGTCGAAACTTCGCCCATAGGGGTATTCGATGCCCTGATTACGAAAATGACATTCATTTTTGCGCTGGCGCCATTTGGCGCCAGGGCTGTTTTCACCAAATTCGCTGTAAACTTGTATATAGGGGTTATTTGGGGTCCTGATCACGAATATAACATTCATTTTTCCCGCTAGCGCCAGTGGCGCCTGTTTTCCGCTCGTCTGCGCCCTCTCACTGATCACCTCGCGATCAGGACTAAGCCTTTGAGGAGGGAGTGCTCCGAAGTGAATAACACTTATCCTGTGATCTTATACGCTTTAACGTTTGCCACATGTTGACTGGTTCACCCACCCCGGAGTCCTCCCCGGGTCAAGCGAGGTGTTGAGGAAAATTTGGAAATACGACCCCCCCCCCCTCCGCCGGAGGTCAAAGTCCATGAAACAACCCTCTTCAAAAGCCGAACTATGAAAAGGTTGTTTAATTCTCCCCCAAAACTAAACTGCTCATAAAAAAGCCGCTACCCCACCGTCCACAAAAAAAAATTGTTTAAGAAGTACAAAAAAGAAAAAGTCAAAGAATGATCACTATTGATGAGTCCTACCAAACGAGCAAACGAGAAACAGACCAAAAAACGACAAACTAGCGCTTAAAAATGGCATACTATGACAACATCTGTCCTTTATTTATTTCCTCCACAAAACTTACCAAATTTTAGTATTACACAGACTATGGTTCTCAATTTACACGTCCCCTTTCGGTTGGAAGAAGCCTTGTAAAGCCTTCGCCAGCTGTGTGTTGACTGGACTTTGGCGTTGACCGTGGAGCAGCTTATTTACTATTGAAATTTGAACAAATATTCAAATGATTATAACTTTCTTCAAAGTTAACGAATTTTCAATCTGAAAGCTGATTTGGGAGTTTTGTGAAGAGCTTTTTCTAATCAGTACTGAAATTACAGGAAGTTATAAGAAATAACAAATTTAGATCAAATAACGAGGAAAATTCGAGACGAGCACGAGTTTTTACACTTTCCGGAGCAATAACTTGCTTCATTTCCGTCAAATTCAAAAAGTTGATACGTCATACAAAACTAGAAGATTTTCTCTATCAAACCGTTGCTAAAGCAGCTTCATACGTCCAGTATTCAAAAAATGGCCACGTTGAGGATTTTTGCAAAATTAACGAGGAAAATTCGTGATGAGTGCGAGTTTTTTACTTTCCTAAAGCCATAACTCCGTTCAAACTCATCCAATCCGAAAAGTAAATACGCCATCATAAACTAGAAGATTTGCTCTATCAAATGCTTACTAGAACTGCTCCAAAACGTCCAGTATTAAAAAACGGCTACGTTGAGGATTTTGCACGAGTACCGCCGAAAGGTACTTTTTCGCTACATTGGCACTATTTCAACGGCTGTATATCCTTTTAAGGGCGATTATGTACTAAAGTAAGAGCAGATTTGGAATCATTGCTTTTCTCTTTCTAAGAAAAGTAAAATTGTTTAGCGTTTCTCAACTTTAAAGGTTACATGTTTATGAATTTAACCCTGAAGAGTGCGTTAATGCAATGTTGAATGGTGTACACCTCCCTGTAATTGCGCACGGACTTTCAGAATCTCTCGATTTTTCCTGAATTGAGATTGTTTGTCCAAGGAGCCGTAGTTGAAGCGCGCAACAACTAGACCCACTCTGGGATGCGCCGTGTACCTTCACATCCCTTCAGATTCGAGGACTCACTTGAAAGATAAAATATCCCTTGGAAAGCGTGCGAATTTCAGATTCTTTAACTTGTGTGGATGATAAAACACTGAAGTAACTAATTATTACGCGGACGCCTCAGAATCACGAAAACTTTGCGTGGGTGAAATATCATCTTCATTGGAAATCCTCTGGCCTGGCATCGACTCGATCCTTGATGTTTGTCCTCCGACGGTGATGATCCCACTGCATCAAATGGCCCGATCTCTTCCACCCCAGCGGGCCAATACGACCCCCCCCCTGCGACGTGTCGAGGATTCCTCAACGCACGCTTGACCCTGGTCCTCCCCTTCCTAGGCTCAGTCCTAGGTATTATGTACAAGTGAGAGGACCCAGGAGAATGGAAAATGTGCGTTGAACGGTGGAAATGCTAAAAACGAATGACATATCCGTAATCAGGACCTAAATAACCCCTATGTGCAAGTTTACAGCGAATTTGGTGAAACAGCCGTTGGCGCCACTAGCGCAATTGGCGCCAGATGGCGCCAACGCCGAAAATGAGTTCACTTTCGTAATCAGGGCATCGAATAACCCTTATGGGCGAAGTTTCGAGGAAATTCAAATTTTGAGTTTCGGGATTGTAATACAGTGCTGGTGTGCAAAACTTAGGGACGGAACTAACATTCACATGATATCTGTTTGCCAGCTAACCTAGGTCGATCAAATTGACAACATAGAGTAGCAGGCGTCCGGTCAGTGCAGAGAGTTTCTAAGCAGTAAAGCGCAACGGGACGATTGGAAAAGACATTTTCTCTGCAAATACCCTGTCTGAAGCGGTCGATAGGTGAGGCTTACTCCAACTCATGGTAGACATTCAAAAGAGAGGAGCTGGTTCTTGATGGGGTGTATGAACACTACGGACTGCAAAGATGCTC